CAAACATTGGCCATTGGCTTCGCTGCCCACGTGGATTAAACAAAAATTAATCTCATCTATTTGGTTATTCATTTGGTGTCTTTAAATTGGAGGCGTTTTTCTGCTTCGTTTGATGCACACAAAGAAAGAGGGATCTGGCTACTGAACTTTATCCAGAAACATCCATGTGTGGAGCAGATTAATGGGAACTTTTCATACCCATAATAGCTTTACAGCAGCGAAGTAGAACACGCAGTTCTCCCCAGGTGTCTATAATGCTCTGGGAGACAGGGAAAACAAATGTGGCTAGAAGATAGTAATGTTTTGCTCATCAAGTGCTGTGTAGTTTAGACATCATTAAACTGACATGTTTAGAACTGAACCTGGGAGGAAACTCACGTTTTGTTAATGTGGGAGTTTTTTGACTTGTTTGTTTGTTTGTTTGGGTTTTTTTGTGGGGCACTCAAACTTTTGGACACTGAAATAAAAAGAAGGATGTGACAGATAGAGATGTCCCAAAGCAGCTGCTGGTATCAAGTGACCACACGTAAAATGGTGAAAGGGAACTGACAGGCAGACTACTAAGGAAAAGAAGTGGCAGCAGCAGGGATTACCAATTTCACCTCTACCTGCTTCCTAAAGGAAACAGTGATTTCTGACTTAAGAGAGCAGAACAGATATTTTTTATATCAATTATGACTTAACTGGTAGTGACTTCCAAGCTGCAATCCAAGAGATGGAGGTCCTTCTCCAGGCTTTGCCCTGACCACAGGTCAGTCATCTTACTGCTCTGTGCCTCAGTTTCCCCATGGGATAAGCTTGACTAAGAATAACAGCATCCTCTGGAAAATGGTCTGAGAGCTACCAGAGGAGAAGACTATAAGTGGATAACTCTAAATAAACTCACTTGTTCCCTGCCTCTGCCCCACCTCATCTAACTTCTCCTCAAAAAGAGAGTGGCTCTTGGGTTTTGGGGTTGCAGTATTTAACAGCACTTGTCTTTATAATGTGTGGGGATCTCTCTGGTCCATTATGCTCACGTGGAGGTGTCCTGAAGGGGTGTCATGAGGCCTTATTGTCTCTCCTCCCTACTTTGGACACAGAATCTGCTTCTTGGCATTAATTGACTTTGTCAGGTCAAAACCAGCAAGGTCAGTCTGTCTGTGCTAAGGAACTTCCTCAACTAGACCCTTCCAAATTCATGGTCTAATTTTTGTGGACAGTACTAATCCAATTTCTCGCATGAGATCCCAACATAGCAGACCTGCCTTTCCTGTAAACACCCCTCCCTGCCTCTCATGTGACTTCGGTTCTATTAAGAAAGAACTCATTACTTGGAAAGGTATTGACGAAAATTTTCAGTTGAGGGTGGGCTGTGTGGTGTGAAAACTCACAGTACTGCCTAAGTCACCTCTTCATAAATATTCCTGCTGTTGTAGGACCTTCCAGAAGAGGCGCAGACCTGGCCTCGTGCTTCAGGGCTCTCGGGATTTCCCGTGGCCCAGACAAGTGCTCCTCTTCCTGCAAGCCAGGGATGCAGTTCCTCCTCCAGAGACCAGCACATTGAGCCCACCTCAGGGGTGGCCTGATCAGTCTAGAGGACCATCCCCAGTGCAGCCCATCCCTCACAAGGGAGCTGCCAGCCAGGATCAATGCCAGACAAAACCTCTTTGCCTCTCACATCAATGCCATCATTTTCAGCCTGAGGTTTTCAGGCTCACCTGGCACTTGCTCAGGTGATTAAAGTTTGGGGCGGCAATTGCCTGCCTACCGGCACCCGAGCCAGCTGGATTAAACCTCACTGGCATCTGCCTACGTGCATCAAAGCCTTGGGCAGCCATGCAGACTTTGCCTTTGACAAGCAGGGGCAGATGGGCTTGGAGGAAGGCAAGTGTGGTGGCCCAGCTCCTTCTTGGAGGCATTTCTCCCCTCCTGCCTCCCACCCTTTCAGCCAGCATCTCCCCCACGCTGTGGGGCTGAGGCAGCAGCCAGCTGCTCCCCCCCCCCATCCCCAGCAGTTGCTGTCCCCCTGCCACCTCAACTTCCCACTGGCTTGGCGGGGAAGCAGCCAGGGGTCACTGGTGTATGGCAAGAACCAGATCTCTGCCAGCAGCTTGGAGCCCCACAGCACAGGGAGCACACACGGGTGAAGCCCCTTGGGAAGGAGGGGGTTCCCTGCCCTGCACCCCCAGCCTTGCAGGTGGGAGCAGCAGGAGCCATGTACCCTGGAATACCTGATTTGGATATATCTAAACAGAAGGCACTAAAAATTGCTGAAGGGCCTGGGAAAAAGTGGCTTAGACAGAGTGCTCACATCCATGGCCTTAAGTGCTCTTCATCTGAAAACCACCAGCTGAAATGCTGCCATGAGTCTCACAGCAATGCCCTCAGGGTGGTGTGTCCTGGGGTGCCACTGTCACTCATCTCCTGCAGTTGGAAAGATGAGCAAGAGGAACCTGACTGGTTGCCCCACTCCTTCTGTGGGGTTTCCAGGATGGATAAAGAATGGATAGGCTTTGTTCATCCAACGGAGGTCTCCATCCATTTCTCACAGCCTGCCACAACCTACTGGCCAACATCTCCTGCCAGAAAAGCAGGAGAGTAGAAAGCAAAGGGTGTGCAGAATATGTAAACTGGGCTTGAGGACAAACACAAAAGCCAGTGGGGAAGTGGCTGAGACACACCCACTTCTTCAAAGCAGCTTTGCAAGTTCTTTTGCCACCCATATTTAACCAGTCAACCAGTTCATCTAGTCATCTACGTCAGCAAGCATCTCTGCTCCAAACACGCTGCTCTGGTCTGCCATGCAGTTGCTGTAGGGACACCAGCACTGCTCAGGCACATCACTGCCAGCTGGAAACACACTGACTTAGGTATTGAGGCCACGCAAAAGAGCAGCAAGGCTCAGGAATGGACTAACAGCTGGAGGCTGACTCAAGTTCTCCAACAGAGCTGCCCAGCTCACCTTTTTCCAGACACAGGGTATCTTTGGCCAGGTAATAGAAAGCAGAGCACAGCTATGACCAGTCCAGGGCACAGCAAGAAGAGGAAGCAAAGCAGAAGTGGCACATACATTGACTGCATCAAACCCAACATCCAAAGGACATTGCTGTTGTTTATTGCAAAGAGTGCAAGATAATTTCTGCAGGCAAACACATCAGTTGGACATGTCCAGGCCCATGTTCATTACTAGCTCAGAGATGAAGTTTGTGGGATTCTTGTGTTGCTGAATTACTTGGCTCATTAAAAGCACACATTCTCACATACAAGTTTTTGCACCAGGGTGCCAAAAACTGTGTAAGAATTGTGACTTTAAGATCAGGATTGCATCTCATCTAGCAGTCTTTCTTTCACAGTTCCCATGAAAACAACAGTGTGATTGTCCTTTATTCAACATTTACTAATGCTTCTAAAATACTGGGAAGAATTTCACTAATCATCCATTTCCTTACGCTTCACAAAGGAGCCGAAATAAACCCTTAAAAATTACAAGACGTGCAACAATTAGTGGAGGTCCGTAAGCAGCACCAGTTAAATAACCAGCCAGCAGATTACAGCACAAAAACCTTTTCAGAGGGAACTCGATAGCAGAGCATCGCTGAGAATTCAATGAATGAAGATTGCCGAGTTGCCTCTGAGGAAGGATTTTGCTGAAGTCAATGAGACCCTAGGGGAAAGATTTAGGGAATTCACTTTTCATTCAGCGTGAAGTCTTCTCAGAGAAACTTGTCTATTCACACCAATATCCAAAGCTCAAGCACCCAAAATTCAGACTACCCACAGCTCTCACACACATTCAGGCCCCTCCAGCAGAGTCAAGGTTTGCCCGGTGGATCCAGAGTTTCCCCTCTCTCTGTTTCTTATATTTCCTGACCCCATGGAAACTAGCCTCAGCACAGGAGGGAGCTGCCTTTATTAAGGGGGAGTGGGGGCTGGAGAAGAAGACAAGAGGAGCAAGCAACTACTCTTCAGCTGATCTGACCACCCTGCGAGCTTTACAAGGTTCTGCAAGGAAGAGGATGAACCTCAGGGACCTTGCAGTGCAGGTGATTGCTGGGTGACAGCAGTGACAAGCTGCCACAGGAGAGTCAGAGGTGCCCCAAGCAGATAAGTCTTGCCCTTGACAGGTCCCTCAGAAGAGAATTCATGCACGGGAAGGAGGTCGAGCTGTGGGTTTGCTCCATGGTGGAGTGCAGTATTCTTGTCTCCATCTTCCCAGAAATCTGGGAAAGAGTGAACCAATGGAAACAGTGACCAGGCAGCAGACTGGAAACCCTGGGATTTCAAATGCTTCCCTCACTTGACCTAGGCCATGTCCCAGACCTGGTGGCATCTATCACGCACTTCCTAATCAGGCTTCCCATGATCATTATCCATTTTTAACTTTAGTCTCCCTATGGTACTCTGGATGAAAGACACCAATCCATCTCTAATCACAGAAAAAGAATGCTATAGAAAGTCCCAATAAGCTACTAGGACTCAGCAATTTCTATAACTCACATTTATTCTCAGTTCAGGGAAGAAAAAAAAGGAAACTGATCTATAGTAAAAGTAGAAAATGCTGTGTCAGGCAAGAACTTCCTGGTTTGTTGAGCTGAGGAGTGTCAACTGGGGTTTTAAAACCAAACCTTTATGTGTGAAAAATGTAAAATTCACAGCAAAAACAGATTTCCAAAGGTTTATGTACACAGTTGCAAGCCTTATGTAGGCATGAGAAAGTTCTACCAGCTCAACAAATAACATGATTTTTAAAGTGAGATATTCAGGCCAGCTCTGTGAATGTGTATTTAATTTTTAGTTTATTTTGGTTTAGCTTAAAATTGACTTCAAAATCGATTATTCTGGTTTCAAACCAAGTTGTCCACTTTGTAACAATTTTAAACTTTGCTCTCAGTTGTGGAAAGCAACTTTCCCACAGAGCAGAGGACAAGACAAGTTTTAATTCACACCTTTGTTTATTTGAGAATTCCTGTGTGGAGCTAGTCTTATTATAGAATAAAAGCACTCATGCAGGGACTCAATTAACAAGAGAGTTAGAGCCCATATAATTATTTCCGAACATTCTGTGTGTATGCCAGCTTTGTATCACAACACCCACTCTGTATGCCAGTTCTGATGTCATGATATAACTCGCTGTAATAGGTTATTTGGGGATTAGAAACAAAACAAACAGGTATTATAAGGAAAAAATATTGCCACATGAGGGCATGCTTCGTCTCTTTCAAAAGCTTGCCTTTTTGACTCAAATCTAAGGCAAGTTACATTTTAAGAGCTAGTTTTAGGAAAAGGGAAAACTCAGTTTTTATTTATGATTTGCTAGGTTTCTTACATACCAATTAAGTGCAAAATTAGCACAAACTTTGAAAAGAAACATTCTTTATTTCCATCCACAGTCGTACTGTTTTCCTGTGGTGGCAGCAATATACCCTTTGGGCTTAAGGCAGAGGAGACGAGCTATCTCAATGCATAATATTCATATTCCGTACCATTTAGTACAAAATAAACACAGGACACAAAAATCAAACACAAAGTTATGAAAGATACAAATTTCACCTTTTGCTCAATGGGAACAGCTTCCTGGCCAATCAGCCATGCCAAGACAAAGGGTGGCATCTCTTACTGTCCTCTTGCAAAAGAAGGGTGGGGTTCTGGGGTTCCCCCGGGTTTCCCAGCTCTAGTGCACCACTGGATTGTCTCCTCCCAGGAAAGACTGTCCATGAGTCTGTGCCCCCTAGATCCTGAGATTGCTGCCAAACCTGCACTATACCTTTGTGGGGATTCCTCAAATCACATTGTCACCCCAACAAAGTGTCACCTCCAAAGTCCATCTTTTAGGCAAAACTACCACCATCAGGCTTTCGGAGTTCGCCAAGTCACTTGCGGTAGCAGCCCAGAAATTAATTAGGCCTGTAGATGGTACTGACGGGCAGCAAGAGGTTAATCTTTCCACCCAGAGAGCTACACCAGAGCAGGAATGATCCTCAAGGCCACAAACTTTCTCTGCTCCTCAAAGGAGGATTTTGGACCCAAGGTGGAGCCCAGTGATTAACTGGGAAACAACAGCATCCAAGCCTTTGAGTCACTAGAAGTAATTTTTCTTCTAGTGAGTCAGACAGAGTATCTGCACATTCTTGCTTCCTGGAAACTTGAATATTTAAACATTCAACATCCCACTCAAGTATCATGTCTGTATCATGGAAATGATTCTACAAAACATTATGTTTCTCCCAGCTAATTCTAGCTAATTCTGTTCTCTAGCCAATATCCACTGATGCTCAGCATGCTACAGGACCTAGTCTTGAGGTGATTGTTTAAAATCAAATAGGCAGAGGTTTTCCCAAATTCCAGAGGAACAAAGTCACATGCCAAGTTTCAGAAACTGATATTCACTTTACCTGGGCTCAGCAGTTCCTGCCAGAGGAGCACTAGGTCCTTGAGCCTTCATTGTTGGCTGATTCAGGGAACCAGGAAGCTGCAGGGGCTGTAGCACTCACACCACCCGGCTGCACAATTTTGGCAATCTGAGCCTGTGCTGACTAAGATGTTCGCACTGACGATAAAAGCCAGCTCACAGGGGAAATCTTTCTTTGGCTTCTCCCTTTATCCCTGAGATGCAAATTCACTACGTGTGTCTTTCAGCACTGCACTGATGCTCCAAGATGACTTCATCTGGCCATGGAAAAGACAGACAAAACATGAACACTCTGATGCCTGTGGAGACAGGTGCACTAAAAGCCATAGGTGGAGCAGTAAATAAATTGAGAGACAGGTTTTTAATCCAGTGACATGGATAATATTGAATTCCCACATATTTTTGTTCCTGTAAACATGTTTCTGTTATAAAATTGAAAGATGCCAGGCTTTATGTTCTTACTGTAAAATATCACAGGAAAATGCACCATGGTATTGAAAGGGACCAACACAGGTCTTCTGTGCTAATGGTGACTAAGATTTTGCTCTTTTCCCTGATTTGTGATTTTACCAAAAGCAATTTTGAATTTATGCCTCAGCACATAAATACCTGGACATTCACAGGCATTCATGGGGCCAGACACATTGCCATCCTGGACGAGCAGACGTGAAGGAACAAGAACCCTGAATACCCACTTGCAGTTTAGGGAGGGATCAAGTTTCTCCTTACCCCACTTGCCAGGCCATAAACTGCTTTTTTGTGCATTGCCTGGCTTCTTCTCCAGCTTTTTCACCACAGCCAGAACCCATCCATCCTCCTAGGCCATCACTGCTCCACAGAGCCCTGTAGCTCCTGGCAGAGCTGTGGCTGGCCACCACTGCTCACTGACTCCTGATACTGCCCCTTCCTCAAGGACTTTGCACAGCCACCCTGTCACCCTGGAAGGGCTGCACTGCAGTTTGCTAATTGGGAGGAAATAGCAGCTGGATCCCCCTGTGCCTACCAGGAATAAAAGCACGGGCAGGGAGACGATCAGGCTGTCATCTGCTTAGAGCTAAAGGAGAGGAAAGGTTCCGCACTTGCTTGCCTGACCCATGGCATGCACAGCAGCAATATTATCTGCACCTCTGAGCATTCCAGGCTTGCCTGGCACCAGGAGATAACGGAATTCCACCATATCTTTAAAGAGGGATGGGGTGCATGAGGGTCAGCCTGTGATCCCAGTTCAGAATTAGCAGGAAAAGCTCAGTGAGTGAGTAGGAGCTGGTGGCTGCAGGAGCATGGGACGCCTGAGTCACCCATGGTGAAGACCAGCCTGAAGCAGACACCATCACCCAGATGGGGCAGCAGGATGGCCCTCCCACAGCTCCTCCCCTGAACAGTGTCCTACATACAGGAATGAACTCCAGCACCAGAGGAACAACCTTCCCACAAAACAGAGAAGGAGCTACAGAAAGCGGAGTGGGAGAGACCGTCATCTACAGAGTGCTCAAGGGAGGGAAGTAAAAAAGATGGAGCTGAGCCAAGCAAAATAAAAAAAAAAAAAAAAAAAAGAACAAAGTAAAAATAAATAGAGCAAAGTAAAAAATAAATATGTAAAAAATAAAGGGGAAGGAGAAGTAGCCACTTTCTCACTGAGTCCTGCCTCAGCAGCACAGTCCTCTCCTAGATCATAGACAGACAAGGTGGGGTCTCAACAGGACTTTGTCCCTGCAGGAACATCACCCACCAGACCAATCCCAACAGCAGGATCCTTCTCCTGACAGCAGAGGAGCTGACCCCACCCACAGCAGCCAAGGAGGCTGCTCCATAACCATGCGGGTGATGAAGAGGTCTCCATGCTACCTGTGCTCCTGGGTGTCATTTTAACCTGACTCATGCTGCCATTTCACAGGTGGCTCTGGCTGGGAGTCAATAGCAACCTGACGTCCCGGTCAAAGGCTGGAGCAGCTCACAGGCTGCAGTGGGTTTGCCAGCACAGCTAGTGCCACCAGTGCTCCCAGGAAAACACAGGAGAGGAAAACACTTCCTTTTTCAGTTCATGCCCTCCTCCATGGATTAGGCATGATGAGGACATCTGATGTCATCTGCCATCCAGGTGGCCTGTGCACGGCCCTGTGGGGGACTGCCACCCAGAACAAAACCTTCAGGAAACATAAGAGGGCACAGGAGATGACCTCCTTCCTGGGTCCACAATGTCCGAGGCATTGGCTGGCTCACCACCTTCTCCAAAAGACATTGGCAGGACACTTGCAGCAGGGGCAGGATGCAAAATCTACAAGCTCTTTATTTCATCTGAATTTATGTGTTGTTTCTGACCAGCCACCACTTCAGCAGGTGGCATTCTAGCTTGTGGGCCATTATGCACTTAGAGGTCTCTCTACCAAAACTTGCCTTTATTTTACATCACTGCAAGTGTGGCCTGACTGGGAGGGTTCCATGATGGCTGTGGAGGAATGTAAAAAACAACATCTCCGAAGCTTAAAAGGCTGGATTCAAGCACTGAAGTTCCTTTGGTGCCACTAAAAATCCCAAAGTCCCAGCACAGGCAGGTTATACAAGCTCACCTGCCCACACACAGGCACTGCTGTCCCTAGGACTTTTGCCCCACTCACAACAGTAAGTCTATTTATAAAGCACCAGATTCCTGTTCCAGCTTCACCGCCAGTGCTTGCAGCGTCAACAAGCCTCTGCAGCTGCAAGGCTGCCCCTTGCCACTCATCCCAATAGGAGCCAGCCAGCAGGACAAAATTCTGCCCACCCCAAAGCATTTCTCTCTGCTCCACTGACTGTCTGCAGCTTTTGGGGCAGCAGCCACTCCTGTGAAGCTGCCGGGCTCCACATGGCCACAGCCGAGGTGTGAGCACATGCTCTGCTTGCCCGATGGCTGGTAACCTGTGGCATAGAGGCAGTGAACAGCTGGGTTGAGAAAGCTGCTGCTGCTTGCCAAGTCTTCATGGTCGCCATAAAAAATATTGCTAGGCTTTTCATGGAGTAAGAGCTAAGCACGAGCTCCCACTTCAGCCCAGAGACAACTGCGCCTGCTTCTCTCTCTGCGGAGGAGAATTCCTCTTTGACTGGATAACAGGCATAAGTGAAACAGCACATGGCAGCAATCATGGGAGAGTGGCAAACAGCCATCCTAACTGGTGGTCACAAAGCTGTCCAGCAGCTGCAGAGAGAGGGGAGGGGAGAAAATGAGCCAGAGGAAAGATGGAGTGGAGGAGGAGGGGAGGAAGCTTTAAAGACAGGAGATTAAGGGCAGTCTCTCAAATGAGTCAAAACTCACTGAGAGGTGGTTACAACTCCCTGTTTAGCAGGAGACATCCACAAATGAATTAAAAAGAATAAAACCTGGACAACTAGGAAGTTGAAGTCAATTGGATTCATACATATTTAACAGGGACATTCATCTGAATAGAGGCCTGCCTGTGTAGCGTGCTAAGAACAAGTCACACTGCCTGGGAGGCTCACACAGAAAGCCTCGCTCCAGGCCAGCACGGGACAGACTGGCTGGGGATTGTTTGCTGTGCTCAGGGAAAAAGCAGCCCTGATGTGAACAGAGAAGAAGATGAAGGAGCCAGTGAGGTGCAGGGGAAAGGGTATCTCCCATGCTGATGAGATGCCAGAGAAAGGGCATGCTCTCTGGACCCTGACCCAGGAAGGACAGGACAGACCATGCTCTGTTTCACAGCTGAAACCTTCCTCCTGGCACACACTGTGGGGACAAGCAGGGCTGCTGCCTGTGGAGCCAAAGCAGCTGAGCTGCAGCCCAGGAGACAGCACAGCTGCCCAGGCTGGATAGCCCCAGGAAAAAGCTTAAGCTCTACTTTTCTGGTCCAGAGCTCTTGCTCTCAGTGCAGCAGCAGGGCTTTTACAAGAAACCCCAAAAAGCTTCTTGAAATATGCGTTGGGATCATGACTGATGTTAGGAGGTTGAGGAACATCTCCTTTAGTCTCTCTAGCAATGGCCTGGATCCAGGTATGGACTTGGGCTATATAAACCTCTTGCCACACATCCTGGTGGGTCCTTTAAGAACTAAATTACTGAGAATTCAAGCTGAAGGGAACCGCGCTGCATCAAACCACTTTACGTCTGCTCCACCTCCGCCCAAGCACTGGCTGAAGTAATGCTGTTGCACAGGGCTCTGCAACAGCATGTCCTGTATCAGAGTTGCTCCACGGGCAACCCTTAGAAACCTTGGCATTTGATGTGAATCCTGTTACCATAAAAATGGAAAAGCCAAATTGGATACTACTGGCTTGGGAAGCATCCTCACAGGATTCCCCTCTGCCTGGTGTCCTCCATCAGTCTCCTTATAAAACACAAAAACAATTCTTACTAAGGCAAGTTTCCTCTCTGTCCAGCACAGCCTGTCGTAGGAGTTCTGCAACCTGGGCTATGTCCTCACTGACACCTGCTCAACCTCAGAACCCTCCAAGGGTTTGCACAAGCACAACTGGCTGAACTTTCTGGTGAGGCACAGGAACATGGGCACTCTCATTCCACAGGAATTGCTATGGCTGTGTTGACAGGGAGGCTTGTAGGTGGCGTTACCAGAACAGATTTCCCTCTCTCCTCAATGGGGAGGCTCTCCCCTGGGGCAGAAGCAATGGCTTCAGTCCACCCTGTCATCTGTGGCAAAAAAGGCATCAGCCAGACAAGGAGAGGCTCTTATTTGGCAGATGGGAGGCAGGACATAGCTGAAGAAAAAAAAAGGGAGCGCACCTAGAGCACATGACAGTAGTACGTGATATGTTCCAGAGATATGTGAAAATGACGGTTATGAAAGAGACAGGAGGGGAAGGGAAAGGGGAACAAAAAAAAAAAAAAGGCCTTTTGGCCCACGTCCAGGGGGAAAGGTTCATTTCTGTCATCAGACTTAATGGTTCAGCCTAGAGAGAAATGCAAACGGCATCAGGTCCCCCCTTCCCAGAGAGGGAGAGCAGGGTCAAATGCAGCACCTCCTTTCCTCTCCCTGTGCATGCCATCTGCCTCAGCCTGACCCGAGGCGGGAGGTTGTCCTGAGCTGCCACTGTAGCCGGGTTTAAGGAGAACAGCCGTGGTCTGGTGATCGCTGCATCATGTAGGGAATCAGAAGTACTTTTGCCTCAGGCAACATAGTAAGCTCAGTAGGAACCAGTTTTCACGCATCAGATATATAACATGGATGCCACACATCCCATTTGGCAACTCCCTCACGTATTGCAAGCTTCTGGACAAAAGGACTCCAAACTCTCTGGATCTGGCACAGCA